TTTCCACAAATGTTATTGTCAATTGTCATTAAATAAGAAAGTTAAATTTTATTACAGTTGTATTTACATCCAGTGCTCCTTTACTCATTGCTGAAACTGTTCAGAGAAAGCATTTAAACTGGCTTACAGTTTTGCTAATTGGAAGGCAGATTTTAGAAAAAAAATTGCTTTTATTGCCCTGTTGGCCTAAGTTAATAAAATGATTAATAGTTCCAGAGAGCTAAAGCACAATATCTCTAAATGTCATAGTTTATATTTTAACACTTTCCATTTAACACCTTTCCATTTCCCAGAATTTGTCATAGCAGGCAGCTCTTAAAATACTTAAAACTGATACCATGTGTTAGTTTTTATTTGGTAAATATTTATACATAATTTTTTATCTTTTAAAGATCTATACTGTTAAGGAATATCCATAGATCTCCGTAGACTTTTCTCAAGAATCTATGAAATGGACAGAAAAATTTGAAGTCAGATATGCTTTCAGGAAAAAGCTCAGACAATAACACGTATATTAGGATTGAAGGTGGAGTTAGTATGACAGCAATCAAAATTTATTTTAGTGGATTATACTTAAAATGTAATTTGTCCCATTTCTTTAGCAATTTGTGTTATTTTCTGTAAAATATTGTTATCTGATCTTAATATTTTCTGTATGACTATCTTTTCCTTTACATGTTTTTTAAAAATCAGAATATGTTTCTAGCATACGTTCTACATCCTGTATCTTCAAGGTAAACCAGTTACATGTGACCATTATGCCGGAAGTTAAGTTAAAAGATGAAGATTGATCCCTACTTCTAGCTAATAATCATGTAAACAAATTTTCCTATTTATAGTAATTTAAGAATCAGTGTAGTCAACTGTGCTAATATTCATAACCAAGGAGTTATACTCTCTTGATTTACTAAAAAAGAGGCCATATTTTTTTTAGAAAAAAGATAGATTTACATCAAGCCTTGATTTCTAACAAAAAGTATCACAGTTACCTTAGATAAAAACCAAATTGATGACTTTTGTCTTAAGCTGACTTTGTTTCTGAGTACTATTTCTTCTGAATATGATTTGGAACCAAACTAGGAATATGTCAGAGAATAAAAGATAATAAAATGTAATGAGCACCTGTCAGGCACAGAAGACATCAAAATGCACATTTTTATGTATACATAATTAAAACATACTTGCATTCATATATACTTTTGAACAGTATATTTTATGTGCTTAGAAGAGATAAATTACATTGAAAATAATCATTTCCTTCTGTGTTCTACAACCTCTCTAAAGAAGTATTTCATAGAGCTTGATGTTCTTGTACAGCCCTGATGCTAAGAATTAACCAGTCAGCAAAAACTGAGCAGCTCAGCAGTAATTATACCAGCACATCATTGTACTTGGCTTCTGTCCACTAACATCAAATGGCCTTTGTTAATTAAGCCTATAGAACAGATCAAATCCTTGTGCTGTTCTGGAGGGTTTTCTTAGCCTATTGATCGTGACAGGCACAAGTCATTATGTCACTATATATTGTCTCAATCGATGGTTATTAAAAGTCAACTATTATAAAAAGGTCTTGGGAATCTCTTAATGCAAAAAAAGAGCCAAAACTAAATTGGAAACAATTCTACTACATCTATGACCCATTCATCTGATTTTCTAAATTTTATCATTAGGCTAAATCAGACCTTTCACAAGTAGGCTGGATTACATTAACTCAGTTGCTTCATCATAATACTATCCTTGCTGAGTTATGAGTCAAAGCTATGTTATTTCCACTATTAATGTGAAGATCAAAATAAACTCTGCAGGCATTATGTCTGTATTTTTTAACTAATTTGTGAATAAAGTCATAGGCATCTGTTATTTAATGTTCTAAATAGAAAGATGCTCATAATTTTTAAAGATATATATGTTTGTTTGGGTATTTTGTCTTTTGAGACAGCGTCTTGCTATGCAGTTTAGGCTGGCCTTGAGCTCACTTTGTAGCCCAGGCTGGTCTCAAACTCGTAACGATCCTCCTGCCTCAGCCTCCTGAGTGCTGGGATTACAGGCGTGCACCACCACATTTCACAAATGAAAATTTTGTTCCCTGGGCAGCTAAATCTTCCTGTTTTCTGAAAATAAAGATGGATGTGAAACATTGTAGATTTCTATATTTAAACTGGTAGTGATAAAACATATAAGCCAAATTTAGTGATTAACTATAATAATAATAGAAAGTACATTTTCTCCCACTTCTTCAGATAAACTTGTTTTTCTGTATCTACATGATTTAATGTTCTTTTGATTGGCATAATTTATTAGCAACCTCAAATATATCAGAGATAAATTCTACATAATTATTAATTTTTTTTTTTTTTTTTTTTTTGTTTTGGTTTTTCTCTGGTACCGGGAACTGAACTCACGACCTTGCGCTTGCCAGGCAGGAGCTTTGCCACTGAGCTAAATCCTCAGCCCCCACAATTATTAATTAAAGGTATGATTACGATGCACTGCTCCTCTCTTCTGTCTCTATTTATTTACTGAATACCCAGTAGGTATTTTACTGAATACCCAGCAGGCACAAAGACACTAAAAACATCTACTTGATATATAATTTATTTGAAAGATAATGGTGCTTGAAAAAGCACCCAGCAACACTGGATTTAAATTCTCTTCTACTTAGTAATCTTCTGGCCCAAATCAAAGTGCTCAATTTTCTTATCTGACTTGATTATCCATTTACTCATTGCTACATGGGATAATGCCAGTTGAATCATGTGAATGCACATATGATTCATGGCGTACTGAGTGGTATATATTAGCCATCAGTATAGTGACCATATTTACTACGTCACAAAATGTTTTTGTCCATTATCTGATCCATTGCTCTCTTATGCACTGGACTGTATCACACAGTAATTCACGTGTTGCAGTTCTAATGCCCACTATCTCAGAGTGTGACAGTACTGGACTGTATGGCCACTGTGGATTTAATCAGCAAAGGTGAGGTTATTCCGGTGGGCTATTACCCACTATGATTAGTGCATTCCAGATGAAAAAAAAATGGATGCAAGCTCTTTTATAATGAGAACACCGCATGAAGATGAAGGTCAAGATGAGAGGATGTTTCTATATCTGGCAAACAAGAAGTCCTCAGAAGACAGCAACCCTGTCAATGTCTTGACCTCAGACTTCTAGGACCCAGAGCTGTGAGACAGTACATTCACATTATCAAAAGCCCCCAGCATGTGGTATTTTTGCTAGAACAAGCCCTAGAAGACAAGCACAACCACAAAATTCTATAAGGTGGTGATTGTTATAGATTAGAAAAACTGAAGCACAGAGAATTGAAAACGCCATCACAGACCCCAAAACAATGGCACCAGCTTACCATGGACTGAACCCGTGAGCCATAAGAAACCTTTTTTTTTTTTGGTTAGAGTAAGGCAAAGCTGATCAACACAGGAAGTAACATGTCAAAGTAACGTGTCACAGAGTTAACAAATGGTAGCTTGTGATTCAAAATGTAGTTATTTTAATTCCACACCAGGAATGTAAAAAAAAAAAAATCACAGCTGAAAAATTAGAAAATCTTAAAGTGGAATATGAGCTCCTATATACTTTCTTATCATCTTTTAATGGCTATGGAGCTGCAAAAATACTATCGGCAATGTTCTCAAACGGAGGACCACTTTTAGTCAAGAAAAACTAGAACAAGAGTCACAGATGGTTACATTTTCCAGTGAAAAGTGTCTATGGAAAAATTAGTCTACAGCATTATTCTTCATATTAATGTAGCAAAGAATTCCAGAAAAACTACAAATGCCAAATAGCAACACAGGTGATATTTAGTACAATTAAGGTGAAATATATAATTTGATAGCTCTCTTTTGTATATTGTAATAGAGAAAATAATAAATCCATAAGCAAGTCAGAGATAGCCACATAACTGTATAAAAATGAAAACGGACCAGTTATAAATATGCTGAGCTCACTAATAGCAAAAACAAATAGAAAACACACTAAATCATACGAGTCAGAAAATCAAGGCCATGCCATGAAATGAGTCAATGAAATACAGCTATCAATGAACCCAGATATTGGGTTCACTAGTTCTGACACCTAAGAAAATTCAATTGATCACCAAAATGAGCAACAAGTCACACCTTTACACTACAGACATTGTCTCAATAATACGGTTCCTTCGTATGCTACCAAAATGCTTAAAGGTTACTGCAAATTTACAAGGCAAAAAATGAAGTCAAACAAGTAGCTCTCTGATACTCAAAAATAAACTTTAGAAGGTGTTATTTCATACTTCCAGCCTAAATCAAAACTGATCACTGTGAATCAATTATCAAAGAGATTCTACACACTCCTATGAAAAGAAAGGGCCATCATCGTTTTCCGAATAAAATAGTTTGCTGTTTTCTCTAGCATCACCTTGTAAAATAAGTCAATTAGGTCCCAAAGTCTGATCTAAGATCTTGGCAACTATCTTTCTTCATCCACTAGGCTATACAAAGAAAAATAAAACTCCACACCATTCTGAGAATATTTTTAAGACAGAAGCATCCTGGCAAATAAAAGCCCCCTTTAATATTTTAGTCTTAGCTTTACCTTGAACCATCCAATCTTATTCAAATAAATACTTTCCTGAGACCACCCTGCCAGAGCCACTGGTACAAAGCACACCATTCTGATCTCTAACTGCTGCAAAGCAGAAACATTTACCCACCTCATGAAGAAAAGTCTTCAAGTTATTCTTGTGTAAGATTTTTTTTCTTAACAAAAGGGTACCAACAGATCTCTGCCTAAAATGGTTACTTAGTATTTCAAGTGACTGTCTATTCCTTTTCAGAAGGCTTCACAACACTCTTCAATTTGAAGTCCTAAATCTCAAAAATTAGTTTATGCTACCTTTGTTGTTCCTTCATTTCTGTGAAAGTAGATTCATTTCTACCTCCTAGTCCCACCTTCCTTCCCTTCCCGCCCTACTTGCCATCCTGAACTGAACTTACCTCCCGTCTGAGTGATGACTTGTATGTCACTGGAAAGAGGACCATCTCCAATTGAGGTAAAAGCCAGGACTTTGACGGAGTATGTTTTTTGGGGTACTAAATTGCCTATAGTAGTGATTTGGCTGTCAGCTACGTTGTGTTTCATCCAGTTGTTGACATGCTGAGTAGGATCCATTGTGTAATAAACTCTGTACCCTTGGATCTGTCCATTTGGCTCCTCGGGTTCCTTCCACTGTACCAAAATGGTGGTAGAACTCAGCATCCGTGCCTGGACATCCCTGGGGGCACTGGATGGCGCTTGCTCTGAGGTCTGCGTCAGCACAGGCTCACTGGGAGGCCCTCGCCCGATGTTGTTGACAGCAACCACCCTGAATTCATAATCCGAGTAGGGACTGAGTCCAGCAACACTGTAGCGTGTGGTTGCCACCCCATCGATTTCTTTGTATGGTTCCTCAGAGTTTTTGGGTTTATGCTGGATGATGTAGTAAGAGACAGGCTCGGGGTTCCCCGAGTCCCACGTCAGGGTGATGCTTGTGGCTGTGCTCTCAGTCACCACTGGAGTTCCTGGAGGCTTGGGTAAGGCTTGGAAGAGGGAGAAAAGAAAGAAAGAAACATGGCTACCCATCCTCTCCACAAGGCGCCAAGCGATACACTGTCTTTGAGAATTACAAGGTTGGGAATCTACTGATAATTAGATAATTAAAGCAAAGGATAGTTTTCTAAGTGATTAAAAAGTACAGCAAAACCTCCAAAGTTGGTCCAATTCTCATTTTCCTAGAAAAGTTTGAGAGCATATATTTTGCGCTTATATCTAAATCCACCACTTATTAGCTAAATGATCCTGGACGCATCTTTTAACTTCTCTTTCCTCTCGTTTCCTCATGTGAAAAATAGAAAACGGCACTGCTGGGGTTGTGCTGTACAGCTGACTAACTACATCATATGGGTTTTCAGGGAAGATTAATGCAATATTCCAGTAGTGCTCTTAAGAATGCATCTGGCATTCTCAAAAAATAGTAGCTAAAATTATTACTACTTTTGTACCAAAATTTTGGCCACTTAGTCCCTTGTTCAACAAATAAATGATATAACTAAATCTCAATGAACATGAAAAAGAAAAACAAGTTTTGAATATGTTGCAATGGATTTAGATTATTATGAAAGAATATTGGCTGAAACACATAAAAAATGACAAAACATTTCTTATAAATAATTTAACCAAGAATTATAAGAGAGTTGGAGTGGAGTGCTCCTCTGGCATACAAGAGGTCCTGGATTCAAACCCCAGCACTACAGAAAGAAAGAAAAGAATCTTAAGGTAAAAAATAATAATTTCATATCAGTGTTTTCTTATTTAAAAAAAATGGAAGGAGTCAAGACATTTTTACAAATCATTTTCTGAAGTATTTGACTGTCAGTAATACTAAAAGCTGTATCACTATATTGGTGACCTCTTATTTCATTGCCTTGCTCTGGACAGTGAGTCTAAACGGGGGAATTTCCCTTGCTATGCTTTCAGAGAAAATACAGAAGGTAACATTCGTATTACCGGGATAGTATCTCTGTTTTCCTTTTAATGTAAAGGCAAAAAATACGACATGCTTTGGAATAGTAGCTTTCCAACAGTATCAAACGTGAACTTTATACTTAGTGCTGTTCTCAGTACCAAGACCTGCCTGGCACTGAGTCAGTTATGAATGACAACTGGCAAATGGCCGAATGAATCAGTCAGTGTCTACTACCCTCACCCTCTTCAAACTCTTCATGTTGATTAGTTTTGACTTTTTGCCTTCAAAAGTCACCCTCATGCTTGTTTTCTTTTTGAGGCAGAAAGGCTACTGAGGGGTCAAGCTCAGGAAATCCAAGATGACACAGTGTAGGGGACAGGAGCTTAATGCAGCTCTTGCTTTCGAATTCTTGAAGGTCTTCAATAAACCTTCAAACATTTAAAGCTCAAATGGTTATTAGGAAAGGAGGTGAATTCACATTTGCATATTACTCTAAGAATCACAGAATGACAATATTTGACCAGGGAAATTTACTAAAAATAATAATACAGAGGCATTTGCTCAAATACTCTGGCCTGACATTTTTCAAAGAAGTGGGTGATTCAGATTTCCCAAAAGTGTCTTCCTGAACTTTCAAGGCAAATAAAAATATTGCTAATTAAAATTGTATTTACTGATATTTAGCTGACATTATTACGTTCGCAAACTCACATTTATTGTATAGTACATGTTTTGTATCTGCAATGGACAGATAAGTACTGTACATTTACTATTTCAAGCATAGACAATACATTGTGTTAAATGACTATAACTATAAATGTTGACACTGTGTACTAGGTCCTCATGTCATGTTATTGACCTTACACGGCATATATTTGATATAAATGCTCACTGTAGATAGAATGAAAATTACACCATGTATGTTGCATTTTCAAGTGTTTACTACCTACAAAGGGAGGTAATTTGTGTTTATTTTGCAATAACTATAGACATTTGCAGAAAAATTAAGTCACCCTCAGTCTGACCCAATTTGCAAGTTTTCTAGAACTCTACAAATCCTGGGTGAAAGCAACTTGTACTCCTACGTGCTCCATTTCTCTCTTTGTTCAAAAATATTCATTGAATATAGTGCTTCAGTTATATTTAGTGCATGTTTCCCAGAGAGAATGTCATGAGCACTCATCTTTGAAAGGTGAAAGATAAAACTAAAACAGAATATAATGCTATTTGCATTTTGAGTTTTCATGGTATGATCCATCAAAAATTTAGAGCACGTATTATTAGATAATGCTGATTTCAATTTTTTTCTATTTTTTTTCCCTTATTTTCAGAGATTTTACACACTTAATAAGACTCACTGGGTTCTTGTGACTTTATCAAGGCTCTGGATGATTATGAAGACTCTATACATTCCTAATTCTGTCGGGGCCTGGTGTGTTGCTAAATATTTTGACAATCATCTCCATCTTAGCTTGACAATACTTTTAAGAAAGAATATGGCAACCTACATACATGTATCTTATATAACAGCATAGATATGATTAAGTCGTACATGTTTGAAATACTGAATGATGAACTGACTTACTTTAGGTTTCTGAGGCAAGACTTTCCAAGGACATTGGTCAGGTGCCTTGAGTTTGCCCACATTTTCAAAGCACAATCCACTGAACATACCTTTGACAGTGATCTGTGCTATTGCTTCAATGACACCCAGTGTTGACATAGCAACGCAGGTATAATTTGCCGACTGTCTTACATCATTCAGTTCTAGGACATTTCTTCCTATTGGCATATCATCTTCAGGTGTCAGGTCTTCTGCCCCCAACATCCACTTCACATAAGGCATCGGTGACCCCACTGCCACACAGGTGATATTAACGCTTCCACCCGGCATGATCTCATGATTAGTGGGTGGGATAGAGAATCTGGGTGGGACACGGCGAACTGGAACAAAACACAAGGGAAGATGATAACATATACGAGGCAAGAAAAAAAGCGGGCCATGAAACACATGACATGCATTCTACAGACACAGTTAAACAACTGAAACATTGTGGACTGTCCAAAAATGAAACATATAAAAACTGTGGATAATACAGACCATACAAGTATGGTGTGTGTATACACAGAAGCATGTATTCAGTTTAATCACTTATATCTCAGAGACATTCATACAAGAGTTGATTCAGATCTGAAAGGGCCCCACAAAACTGTCTACAAGCTAACAATACATGAACATCATGCATAGGATAAATACAAAACATATACATGCATGCATATGACAATGACTCTATGCATGCATGTATATGTATGAAAAAGGGCTGGAAGGTCACCAGCATGTCTGAGTTGAGTATCAAGACCAACTTCAGTGCTGTGCATTCCCGGTTGATGTGACTGTATGTTGTGGGACCACACTGTCACATCCAAGCCCTGGAAAACATCACCTGGAATACACTGAATGTGTAATTTACTTTCTTTAAGATTCAGCGTGGGTGCAGCCTCAAATCCTCACACTAACAGTGGAACAGACACTATACATAAATAAATTTACAGGAGAAGAATCAGGCCGACACCAGTAACCATACTGGATTGAGTCATGCAAAGCATGCAGAAGATGGAATCTCATGTACGTGCTATGACAGTGGGAGAATGGCCGGGCTCCAGTCAACAATTACAACACGATAAATAATAGGGGAACGGAACTAAATACAAAGGGGAAAGGTACAGTACTGTGGCTGAGATGGGGACTTAGGGGATAGGAGGGTTGAAAGTTGCCAGGTAGATTAAACTGAGCTTGTTAAAGGAAAGGATTACTCATTCAAAAAGGGAGCTCGGTATTTCACATTCAGGATTCCGTTCTGTACATATCTAAGATAACACAACATCAATGACCACACAATCTAATGAGAGGCCTTTTAAGCCTACATTCAAACTGGGAACACCAAATCTAAAACACACAGCTGGACAAGACGTTAAGAGAAATGGTCATATTAAAGCAACGTAACACACAGAAAAATTACCAAGCAATTACAGTTCAGTGTTCCTGCTTCAGACAATCTTCATGTTTATGTATGTTTAAGTACATGTGTTTTAGACATGGTATAAGGAGAAGGTGAGATTTAAATAGGTTTCCTCTTGGGCTTTTACAGGTAAAACATTACACCCGGAGAATTTTATATCAAGAGAGTAATCTTTTGAAACATACCTTAAATACAGAGAATAAATCGTTTTCCAAAGTTATAAAAAGACTGAATAACAACCTCATAACTCCAAGAAGATAAGTAATTCTGTCTGAAGTTTCTTTGGTTGCACTTAAGGTTGAGATAAACCTCCACTGACTTGAGAGGACTCACTGCAATGGCCTCAGGGGTGAATGACAGTTACAGGAAAAGGAGAGAGAGCTAAGCATGCCTCCTGCAGCCAGTTCACAGAGGTTACCCGAAGCGAGCAGGAGCCAGTGTAGACGGAGGTGTCAAAGAAAATATCAAGAAAAATGGAGGAGAGTTTAGTCTTCATGCTTGGGGTTAGGGGAACAACTATGGAAAGTCATTCTGTGGGGCAGCAGGCATCCTTAGAAGATAGAAATTAAAGGCAGGGTGGGACATGGGGAGAGTAGAGGAAGAAGGAAAGCAGGAACACTGACCAAATTCACTGGGCCTTAGAGAGTTAAGTGTTACCAGTTACCATGCATCCCGTACAGTCCTTTTCATCATGCACCACAGTTAGACGCCACCAGCAAGCAACAGAAGCCATGGCCAGAGCATTCTCTGCTAAAATATACCATTCACCAAAAGAAGACCACAATGCAGCTACATTCATTTCATTTGTATTCTTTGTTATTGGTTTAATTAATAGTTTTGTAAGGTGGGTAAAAAGTAAAAAACACACCAACCTTCTCGCAGCTCTGAGGGATGTAGGGGGTTTGATGCAGAACACAATGAAATGAGGAAAGGAGAAAAACAAGGGAAACACAGAGAGAGTAAAAAGGCCATATCAAGGCTTTCAACTGCTATTTGAACATCTTTATTTGCTCTACTTCATCCTTCCTACCTTCGCTGGACAGTTAGCAATAACTTACAGACTAACACATTATTAGAAACAATAGCTAGCCTCATTTTGAAATTTTCAGTGGAAGAAGGTACACATGCCTCATGCAGCAAAAAAAGGTCACCACTGTGTGGAAAGAATTGAGGGGTTTTCAAAGTACTTACAGAAGAAACAGCTTTCTTCAGATCCCCCCCACCCCAGACTCCATAGAAAGAAAGGAGAAAAACATCCCCAGGGAAAATTACCTCTAACAAAAATTTCAAAATCAAGCTAGATATTTTCTTAAGGGACCCCTCCCCCCATGCTATGGTAACTTAAAGCCCGCTCAGTCTGCTATCCCCACCCCCACTCCAGCCTTTCTGGCTATTCAGAAATGTAGACCAGGAACGAGTGTTTTCACTGGATAAAAAACAACAGGAATCAGCTTTGAGAATTCCAGGGAAGAGGAAGTAGTTCTTATTCCTTGAAATCAAAGGCATAGCCATTTATAAGCTCAAAATTTAATCATTTCTGTTACTATATGAGAAAATATGAATATCTTTGTAATTCATTCCTGTTCCAAGGACAACTAATATTATTTTAAAACATACAATCAGGGTTCCATGGCAATCAAAAGATTAGATTTTTTTCAATGTTGTAAGAATTTAAGTATCCATGTGTATATATGTGCATATATAAGTATATCTGGATATAGAATGCTATATATAATATTATGTGTTTATAACTCAGACAACACAAAAAGGACTACAATTGTGCTATTTCTATATAGCAACCTCCCCCCTTTTCTTAACTCTGCAGCTTTATTCTTAGAGCTCAGCGGCAGAGGGCGTAAAGACATAAACACCTTTATGCTTAGTTGCACACACAACTGATTAGTACCACACCAAGCAATTATTCCAAGTTTGATAAGGAAACAGAGCAAAAACAACAGGAAAAAAAAAGTAGAAGAAAAAGAAGAAAATCTCAAACAAATGCAAAGCACGGTTCCATCAATGAGGTAAAAAATAGAATTAAAAATATAAAAATGCAAGTATACTTACAAAGCTCAAGCCTCAGGACAGATTACATTCAAGAGTTTTCTCTTTTTATTAGGAAAAAAGAACACTTATATTTTTTAATTCTCTGTTTTCTAAAATGCTTCAGCAACCATAACCATTACCAACTCTGCTTATTAGAAACTGACATAAGAACACAGAGCCCGCGGGTACGTCACCTCCCCTCAGCCCTGAATGAAGAAGCCATGACAGGGTTATAGCATTCCTACCTCTGACATATAAATTGGCAGGGGCAGAATAGCGAGTGCCCGCGCTGTTGGTGGCAACACACTCATATTTTCCTTGATCAGATTCTTCACTCTGCTCGATCTGAAGGGCTCCTGTATGGATATAAAATATATTGCCAAAGAGATGGTCAGAGCAGGCTTTCTCAGTTCAGAAAGCTAAACCTCTTAACAATATGAAAAGCCCTGGCAAAGTGAAGGTCCGCTCAACGTCGATTCAATCTCTCGCTAAGGTGCACAGACAGAAAATGATGCGATGAGAAAAACATATAGAGATTATTTCTTTTTTTTAAAAACATCATCAATGCTAGCATAAGAAAACAGTATCTCTTTTCCCAAGCAAGAGTTCTAGTCATAATTAACACTCTTATTTCCTAGACTAATAAAATGAAAATGAGTGAGACTGCTTCAAGGAAGTATGGCTTTTAAATAAAACAAAAGATTAATTTTGGGTTTTGTTTTGTTTCATTTTTATATCAAAAGTGGCGCAAAAGATGGGTACATTAAAAAAAAGCCAGGCTGAGTTTTCAAGAAAGTCTTCTGCTGAAGAAAGCCAAAAATACGCAGCAAGCACAAAAAGGCTGCACAAAGCAAAAAAATTAAAATTAGTCATTATCAGTTATCAAAATATCACTTAAAGAAACAAAACTCCCTTAAGACATGCAGATTGTTTAAGAAAAGAAAGACAGTTTGCCACAACTTACAATCATAGATTACATTTGCTGAAAAACAAAGAGCAGTTGCATTAGAAGGTTTTAAAAAAGTTAAAAAGCACGGCCTGTGCCAGCCAGGAAGAGTCAACCAACCGCTGCTGAGGACCTCCAGCCAGATCCCCAAGACACCCATCACAATCCACCAGTGGGATTAGCAGTGCGGTGTCACAAAACCCCAAGAAAAATACAAAACAAGAATTACAAAAGAAATGAACACCGAGTCAAAGTATGAAAAACCGGCAATACACATACCACCAAGAGAACTGAGCACCTTGTTTCCATAGCCTGAAGGACAGAAGATCCAAAAATCCAGAGACGAGTAATCCAAGAAAAAAAGAAACGGGAAAAAAGCATTGCTGTCAGCTTGTAGGCGAGTAGGATCAGGTGGAAAGGGGGAGTCATTCTTTGACTTTTAAGACATTAAGAGAAAAAAGAATTGAAGAACAAAAGCAAAAACCTTTTGAAAGATAAAGACAAAAAGTAGACGGTCCAGGCTGTCTTCTGCATGTCTGCTACTGTTCTCCAGACCACCTTGGCTTTGGTCCAGAACAAGAACAGCTAAGGAAGAAAAAAATGATCTTTTTTTTTCTCCAGTTGGACAAAAAAAAAGGAAAAAGAAGAAAAACACAAAAAAAAGAGAAAAAGAAAAAAGGAAGAAGAAAAGGAAAAAAAGAGGGACAGATGGTACGCTGTGACTGGTCTGAGGTCTAAAGACCTGGATATGCTTTCTTTGAAGCATATCACAACTTAAATAATCATTTTCATAAAGAAAGAAATGAACAAAACAAAGAGAAAAAGGAAAAGGAAAGGAAAGGTCACAATATGAGAGTCACGAATCATAACCAAACGGTACAAAGGAAAAAATTAAGTTGATGGACATCGTTGGGATGATTTGGAAAACAGGACAAAGATGAGAGGGATGAAAGGACAGAGAGAATGAGTAAGATCATTCTGTGAACGTTAGTTCAGCACTCTTACCTCTTATTGGTGTACCACCTGGGTGGATAATATGAATGCAAATAAGATTAGAAAGAAGAAGCATTAGTACGAGAAGAAGGAGGCTAGGGCTGGGGAGAAGAATTAAATTAGATTTACAGAATTAAATAAGGTCTTAAAAGAAACTTGAATTACTATACTGGCAAAACAGGAATATATTAGATCGTATTATTAGATCATAAAAGCAAGTTGCACTACACCACAGAGGGCAAAGACCATAATAGGCAGCATTGCCTTTCTCAGAAAAGCAACTGAGTTCTCAGGTCTGGGATCACATAGGGTTAGAATTATAGCTCATATGCCTCATAGCCTTTAAAAAAGAAATATACAGTATTTTTAAAGACATAGTTTAGGAAAATGCTGGCTAAGCTATTTAAGTATATATATAGATATCCATATATATATATACTATCATAGAAAAGGCTAAGGACTAACTAGAAACAAACACTGTTGACTAGATAGCTTAGTGCTACTTATTATGTTTCATTAGTGTGATATAATTGGTGTATATTTTATTTTTCTATACAGTGTTCTTACGATAACAGTTCTGTGGAGGTGTACGTGTGTGCGCCACTAACAAGATCTGGTGTCTACACTCACAGTTAGTAAAATGCATGCCATGCATTTTATTAATAATAATCATCGTAATATTCTGAATATGGAAATTAGTGGGGGGGTGAAGTGCGCTTCAGAACTAAGCACTTACCAATAGATTCTGGAGATTTAAATACGGAGAGAAGAAAGACAGCATAAAAATATTATTATATTCCTTATAATTTGGTACAAAGTTTTCAGAAGTTAAAGCTTTATTATACTAAATTATCTATGTTACATGTGAATCATTAATTCTTTATTTACAAAAACAGAATTCTAAACTACACAGTTCTGCTGACAACAAGCAAAAGAGGCAGTTAACAAGACGCTTTAACATCACAGGACAGGTCAAAAGCTGAGAATTCTGGGAAGACAGGCAGTTAAACAACTTAGAATCCCATATCATTATTACTAGAAACGTCAAAAGTAAACAGCTTATTAGTATATGGCCCCATGTCATTACCTAGGGACAGGCTCTAATACCTCAGAAATTGAGAATTATCTCTACTTTTAATCTACAGAGAGCACAGGGATAAACTCGGGATGGGAATGGGAGAGGGAGCGAAGGGCAAAGAGGGAGAGAAAACAGCAAAAGCTGGAGTCTACACCAAAAGCAGACTTCTGTAGATCCAGTCACTGGAGGGTTTAAAACCTTGAGCGTGGGTGCATACCACTGCGGCTAACGTGTAGAAAGTCCTCACTCACAATGACATAGTCATAGTAGTAACAAAAATCCCCTCCTTTTGTTGGTACTTTGCAAAAGACTTTAAAAACATACAACTGGTTATTCATGAGATAACATTTCTGTGTTTTATGTACTAGTGACCAGAAAGCGGATGTGCCCAAACTTACTAAACTTTGGTACTTGGATGAGCTCAAAAGTAGAAAAGACAGGCAGAAAACACACTTTGATATTATTGCATCATTTAGTGTTTAATATGAACATTTGTTTTTCAATGGATATAACCATTGGAACTCCTTGCAAGTTCTGAATGAAGTCCAATGTTGAAATAATTTTGTTTCAAAAGAAAACAGAGAAAGAAGAAAGGAAGAGAAAATGGATCCATCAAATACTGCAGAAAAGCAGTAAATTAAAATATATATATATATATCAAAAATACAGTCACAGCAGTGAGCAATATGGATTAAACAGAAGCTGCAAAACACACAGAGAGAAGAGAGGAGCTCTGAAACGGGCCATGACAGCACAAACATGGACAACACGTTAAATAACAGAGAAAGAGAAGAGGGATAAAAATCAATACCTAAAAATTAAAAATAAATCAAACAAAAATAAGTAAATAGAAAGAAAGACTTAAAAAAAATTGCTATAGGAGTTAGTGGAAACAGTAACAAGACCCTACCTGATCGTAACTGCTTAATACGACCGTTGTTGTTGCTTGTGTCGACGGGCAGGAAATCTTTAAACCAAGTGATTTCTGGATCCGGATTGCCACTGGCTGCGCACAGCATGGTGGCCGTGCGTGTACGCTCGACCACCTTCAGCTGCGGGCCCATGTCAATGGTAGGGAAACCCCTGGGAATCTGATCCTCTGCAAGACAAAAGGAGATATGAACATTATGTTAACAAGTTACAGGCTTAAAATTCGATATTGCAATAAATCTCAACCTTATTCAGCACCTGTTGAGGCCCTAACACAAAGCAAGCACCACTGCACTACTAGATTAGGGCACAGACACAATATCTGTTTCTGCCTAGCAGACTAAGAGGCCAAAGGCTGACACACTAGCATAGAGCTCAGGCTGAGGCAAGGAAGACTGTGATGAAATGAATCAGGTCATCTAAGAACACAGAGGGACAAATAACTGCAGGATTTGTGCTGCAGCAGGTCGGTGAGTAGCATGGGGAAGCTCTGATATGCAAAGGACCTTTAGAAAAGTGTTAGGAAGTCAACCTGGCCAGGTTCCAAAGAAGGAAGGCGGGATTTTAGAAAGATAGGGATATCCCCAGTCTAAGTATTGATGTAGGAAGGCTTTTAGTGAAAGAAAATAGTAGGACCCAGCAGAGCTGGCGTGGGAATTCAGTGGAAGTATGTGGGAGCAAGCAAGCAGGTTAGTGAGCAAGAAGCGAAGCTAAGCTATCTCTACTCCACATGGCCATGTTTCTCTAAGAACCGGCAAGTAAAACTACACATACTTAGCCCTCTGAATCCAAGGGACTACATCCTCAAGTTGAAAATATTTGTGTGATTGAAAATACTTGGAAAAAAATACTGTGTCTAGACCAAACACATACAGACTTTTTCTTATTATTATCCCTTAAAGAAGACAGTATAACAAGTCTTTATAGCATTTATGTTGCAATATATAGTACAAGTAATTTAGACATGATTTAAATTCTACAAGAAGATAGGGAAGGTTACATGTAATTACTACAGCATCTTAGATAAGTAACTTGAGTATCTGCAGACTTTGGTATTGTTGGGTATGTGTGCCCTGGGAATGAATTCTTCAGAGATACTGAGAACAGCTATTAACTTTCCACCTAAGCATAAGATTCAACCTGAATGAATTCCTTTGTGGGGAGTTTCAACTGATCAGAAAAGTATATGAGAGCTCTTGTAAAAAATGTTTTTGTTAGTACATATTTTCCATACGTAATGATTGCATCAGCATCATGGGAAATTTGTACCTGTACATATCTTCATTCTTCTATTTTTCCCATTTCCCCTTCCCTTCAATCTTTCTTCTCCTACTGATTTACAAAAGCTCTGTTTCCATTTTCCTCTTAATACTCTCTCTCTTTTCCAGTCCTTCTTTTGTTCCTTCTCTTCCCCTTCTCCCCTTCCTCATTCCCCTGGAAGTTCTTTACCAAGGAAAAAAAATTAAGTTCCTGTTAATGACACAAATGCATGTATTCCTTCGAGTAAGAATGTATTTTTTCTCCATCTCAAAGGCTTGTACAATTTTCAGAAATTAAAAAATTGAAATTCCTAAATTTCAACTGTCCAACTCATCCAAAGTCAATTTCTTCCCACCCACAATAAAACTGATCCAGATTTCAGATGAGGAAATAAAGTCCACTTAAATCCTCCAATCACACTGCACATCGACAACCTATATCGCTCGCTCTTCCAGGCAGGAGTAGAAGGCTGTTTTCTACCTGTGCCTTAAAAGAATTTAAGTTTGCTGTGTGATAATATCCACATTAGACTGCGGACATTTCTTTGCAGACCATTATGAAACAATTGACTTCCAATTCAGCCTGGTGTTCATTTAATCAATAGTACATCATGACCACTGATGAATTCTGATGATCCCTTAATTCTAAAATGGCTCAAAATCATAAACACTAGCCAGGTAAACATGAGAACATATGCAGTCCTGATGCTCCCAGTTTGTTATCAGTCAGCCCTCTGCATTCTCCCTGGTCTCCTCTTTTAATCTACAGGCCAAACTCAAATGCCTAACCCTGGATCACAAGGTCCTGCTTGTTTCAGCCTCTCATGGGTCACTTCGCCCACAGGAAACTTTCCTACTGTCCACACTAAAATTCTCACATCTCCTAGACAAATTATATCTGTTGAGGACTCTGCCACTTGGAAGCCATCTAGCTCAAAGTACCTTCTTTGTAAAGGTTTTCGAACCTCCCTAAAACGTGTTTATTCGTTTCTTTATCAGAACTTTCACACCAATGGGTACCTAAATCCAGTTTCTTATACTTACCAATTGCGAAAACCCTATCCTTCTACCAAAAGTTTTTTTCAAAGCCCTTGCCATCACACTCATATAGACTTACAGGTGTTAAGATAAGCTCCAGTAATTTGCAAGCCTAAGTGCGAATATATCTCAAGGATTATAGAGAAAAATATTCTACTACACAGAACTTCTGTTAGAAGAATGATGATAGCAATTGTAAAAGTGTGAAGATATTGAAAATGCCAACATACTACAAAAAACAAACGTCCCAAGAAGGAACAGCTCATAGAGCAGCAGCTCTAGGTTATTATATGAGAAAAGTTGATGGATTAATAGGATCAAGTTCAGACCGGCTCTCCCGATGGGCAGGACAAAGCTTATATCTCCTCTATTAACAGTCTATGAAAGAACAAAAGAGGCTACAATACATTAAGATCCACACGTGAATCCACTAGAGATTATTTTCTTGTTAGACCAGATTCTTAGAGCTTTGAATACGAACAATAATAATACTTTAAAAATTAAAACTATAAAATAGTTAACTTCCACAAATTACATTTCATTCTTTTAGAAAGACGCAGTTTTTCTCAGGAAACACAAACACCTTCTGATTATGTAAATGTTTCCACATCCTCAGCCAAGCAGAGGTTCACGGTGGGCAGGTGTCAGGAGCAGAGGTCCACAGTGGAATTTCAAAATGATTTTTTGAGTCTCCCAAGGAAAGTTAAAAATTAAAATTAGATGAGGAGTACCTTGCAAATTAGGTTATGCTAATATTAATAGCCTATTCCACTTGAATTTCATCAGGCTGTTGTTTATGTTCTTAAAGGTTTTACCAATATAGTTACATCTACAGTGCAGTTCTAATGTTATTAGGAAAAAAAAAAAGAAAAAGATCGATAGCTGCTGTACCACAAATGTTATATTATTACACATCTCACTTGGCAGCTATTGACACAAAATCCTTCAAACAATAAAAATAATTTACCTTAAGTGCTCCAAAGTCAACTACATTGCCTTGAATATTGAAAACTGAGTTTCTGGAAAACCCCTTAGACATTATTGTTATTTTCCAATTTCTAAAGCAACCAACGTAGGCAAAACAAAAAAAACAACAAAATATCACCCTGGGATTTCTCTGTTTCTTAGGACACTATATCTCCTCCATCTTGTTTAACTACATTCATATCCACAAATACCGCTCTGCTAGTCACTAATTTTCTTCTACAACTTCGTCTCTCTAAAAAACCAGGCCAGTATTCAGGATTGATCAGTAGTAAGTGTCAAAGCTGTAAGATTATTGAGCCACTTACCGAAGGCTCTTACAAGGAAAGCTAGATTTAATAGCCATTTATAAGAAATGACGTCCTCACCTTAGGGAGAGCTGATAGACTTGACTTGTGCCCTACTAAAGGTATCCTAATATATTTGCATGACCTTTTTTTTTCTTCTCAGCTCATAAAGAACACTCCAGAGCCTCCTTTTCATACACAAGTGCACAACAAAGATAATCTTTCTTGCATACTAATAGGACAGAGAATATAAAGGGCATTCCTTTCTTATTTTTAATAGGGGTAATTAAATTCTATCCAAACCCCCTTTATGCAGAACCTCATCCAATGCACTTTTGTCATTAAATTTTCATGAGAAACATCACATTGTAACAGATTCCAATAGCCAGAGCTGGTACACATTGACAGCTGTGCCTTGTTTCCAATTTGACTGTCAGGTATCTGGAATAAAATTCAGTATTCAATATAAAACAAACTGTAGAAATAATGAAGTTTCTAATTGGAATGCTTATCTCTGTGTGTACAGAAGATGCTAATTGCTTTTTTTCACTCTATACATTTATTAGTGATTTATATAAAACTGGCTTAACCATTTGATTATGTCAATTCTGGCACTTATCAAAATAAGTGGTTCCAGGAACTTGGAAATCAAATCAATACCTTTAAAATCGGAACCACATAAACATTCACACAGAAAAGCAGTATCAAAAATTAATAAATTGTTAATGTTAGTAGTTTTAAACTTTTATATAAGGTGAAAAGAAAAACATTTTGTCCTATTCATTAATATGCTCATGAAGCTTTAAAGTGCCTTACTTATCACCATTCCATATTAATATTCAATCATGCAGAATTAGGTACTAATTCATCAACAATTTAAATCAGACTTGACCTTCATGAAGCCATTGGGTCTGTCATTTTGAGAGGCCATTAAAGGGCAGATGACTGCACAGTCCTGCTTAGTGAACTGGAGAATCATACATACTCTGCGAAGGCAGCTATAATAAGACCTGGAGATATAGCCCATTCTTCGAATCTGTTTGTGTCTTAATGAAATATGCTGATAGGAAACTTTCAGGGCCATTAAGGAAAGAGAAACATGAATTTCAGCATTTCCAGAGCTAATTTCAAATTGTTGTATAACTCCTTAACAAACCCTGACCTACAGAGACCTTAAAAGGTGTTGTGGGGAAAAGAATCCATCAATGTTTCGGAAGGAGCTGTGCCTTTGATATCTGTGAGCCATCAAGTACTAGCTCTTGCATAATTTGCTCAGTTACACTGCTTTCACTGTTCAGCCATAGACAGTTTTAAAGATATCTTTACTTTTGCTCCAGTTCCAAAACCCTACACATTTTAAGGGAAGCCACAACAGCCTGAACTGCCTCTACGGCCAGATACTCCCTCTGAGATAGCCCCAGATAGTTCTCTTTGAAAAAATGCCAACTTACCAATTATACCACCAACATGTGTATGGAGAAAAAAATCATGTCAGACAGTGGTATTTTTTGTAAATGTATTATTAAAAGATTTGACAAGTATTTCTGACAATTTAGACCTCATTTATAATGCAGAAGTTTTAGCAAGAATGGTAGTACAAC